AAGCTTTTTGTTCGCATGCTTTGTAACTTCCGTACCAAAATCAGACCCTCAAAAAGCTCTCGACTCATCGGCAGCATGCGCACTGTAAAATACCGATCTTAAAATACTATAACTGAATCTGGAGTAGTTGATAATGGTTGTTCCCTAATTTCTAATGATGTTAACACGTTAATTCCCATGTTAGTCATATGTGTCTGACGCTAAGACGTTCTGCTTGAGCCATGTCAGACGTACGCAATTTGGTAGTAGAAGAAGAAAAGTTTCAATATAAGGTCATATCAATCATATATGTGTGATATAAAAAATAGAGTTTTTCCGGGAATTTTAGCAACATTTTTTTTCTTTGATAATTAATTTTTCTGATATTATCGTGGCGATTGGCGTGTTAATATTAACAAATACATCATCATAAAGTTATAAAGAGTTCATATCTTTTGAAAGAGAATTGAGCATGATTTCAATACATAGAAAAATTTTATGTTCATATTCATATTATCACTAATGCTACTAATAATGCAAATATAGCAATTTAAATAAAAATTACTCCACTAGAAATATTACACTTTGTGAAGTGTACCATTATTTTGAAGTCAATATAGAACTAAATAAATGGCTTAAAAATCAATAACATCTTGACACCCTAAACTCGTTCAATAGTATGTGATAGAATCATGAACGCGACATATCGAGTGATGTTTAAAGTTATATATATAAGCGTGCGTGTGTCTATGCATGCATGAAAGTACAAGTTGAAGCATATGCATTTGTATGGGATATTTCTAGTAATATGTGTGATATGTCATAAATACAATACATATATATTTGAATAGTTCATTTAATGAGAAAGCTCGAGTTAGTTTGTAAGGTAGTATATACATGGGGGCCAATATATTTGCAAGCATATCAGAAAAAATAGTATTTGATTTTATCCGTGAAAATTTAGATTTACATACCATTCAAAAATATGCTCCATAACTGGCAATTTAGAAACTTATGATTGATTATACATATATCATTTTGTTTGTTATATTTAATTACGTATTACGTTTTCGGTTACTTTTTTCTTGAATTTTCTAAAGAAAAATGACCATGAAATTTAAAGCAGACGGCTTTGACTGACAGCGCAAATAATAGAGCTATTTGGAACACTAGCGCCATGTCTAAAGCAACTACCCCGTTTTATTATGCGGCACACTACCGCTGATTGCAAAACACTAACATACCAGCTGCACAATCGATAGATGTGCTGCTATACGCTGACTAGGGTAATTTCTTGGTGAAGCCCGAACTCACCGAGCTTCAAACGGATTGATGTCATTTCAAACCATTAGCAAGCGTATTGATTCAGTGTTCTGTAATGACTATCAGAAAAGATACTTCTGATTAAGATAATATTGTAGTTCGAACAATTTTATTCATCACAATAGCGGTCAAGAATTGAATTATAATATTTCTATGATATTGATATCTGACCTATTGACGAATTCTACGTACACAAACACGCACACATATACATATAAAATTGAAGATATTGTGGTAGGATGATTAAAAAGTTTCAGATATTTAAAAAATTAGATAAAGAATTTATTTCCAGTGGACCATTGTTTTTAGTTCATTTTGGTTATTCGAAATTGTCGGAAGTAAAATCTTTATTTTTACGAACTTATTCACAATCAACGAGTAGTTAATTTAATAAAAACAATTAAACCATAAAAATTATTATACCTTTTTTTTAAATATTTCTGTTTTTATTCTTATTAATAGAAGTTGAATGTTAATTTCGCTTGGGATAGGAAATGAAATAGAAGTTGATGGCAAAAATCTGTTCAATTGTTTGTTCCGTTGGGTTTCAGTTTTCCCTTCTCCAATTTAAAACAATAAATAACTACGATATTTGATTATTTGCTAAATTCGCTTATCACTTCTTATCAAATGCCACATGTTGAATTGAAGCGGAAAATATACATGCACGATATTTTAAAATGGCAATAAACCTATTCGCAATATTAATGACATAAAAAAATGTTGCAAATCATTTATGACATATAACAATCAATTTACATACAAGTATTTAAAGTCGTTTTATTAGACTTATTATAAGACTTTTATTAGACATATAATTTATAAACATGTTGATATAAGACACTGCCTATGATTTATTAAGCTATTATAATATACGTTTATCGATAAACACAATTGGTAGGCATATAAAAGCGTTTGATTTGTTACTTTTGAGTATGTTAATGATAATCTTTTGTTAAAATAAAAAAAAGATTCATAAGCAATATTGTGTCTGTCACTCATTGTTATATTTTTGTATAAATTGTATTTTTATATAAATTGTAATACAAACTGTTTTTGCAATTATTATTTTCTTAGATTGTTTTTAAAAAAATATTTTACAAGATGAATAAAAGTGCAGATAATTAAGGCATACATTAAATAATAAAATACACTTTTAGATGTAGTTAAAAATAAGAATTCATAAGCAATATTGCAATTGAATTTGTTAAGTAATTTAGTTTAAATGAGTTTCGAACAATCATTATCAGTTTTGATAATGCTTAATAAGCTACGCACTATCATTATTTTATTTCATTATTTTCTCTTTATGTACGCCGTGTGTCAAACAAATCATACTCGAGTTGCGTGTGACTGGCTTTACACGATAGGTTGAAGGCTAACGCGGGTCCCCTACGCAAGCATGCCTCGCCCTGACCCGCTTGATGCTCAATGCTCGAATGCCTCTCTTCAGAATAAAGTGCATGCATATGAAAAAAGTCGGAATATGACTTCTACATGGCGATTTCTATATTTATATATAGATATATTTTTTTCAATATGAAAACAACTAATTGTATATTTTGATAGGATGAATAGGATAAAATATAATCATTCATAATTTTTGAGGCGATGCACGTGGATATTATAAAAACTATTTAAGATCATAAAAAGCGTTTATGAAATGCTTTCAATGATGAATGCTCCTCGAAATGGAAAAGAAGAGGGTGTTACTGAGAGGCTAAATAAGAGTAAGCCGAGATATTTTTTATGATTACAAATGGTGCTTAGAAAAAGTGCGTGGAAGATCGTGAAAATCTATGGTAACAACTCTAATATCGTCACATGTCCCATGAGTAGGTCAGTAACCATCGAACCTAACAATAAAGTCAAATCACCTACATATCTAATGCTATCAATTTCTAGTAGCACTCGAATCGAAGCATTTAACCGTTAAAACAACTAGTTCTGTTATATGCTCACTTTATTCGCGTTGCAAAGTATCTTCAACGCAGCATTATGTTTGTGCGATCTCGATACGATCAGCCAATATTGGCGATAGCATAAAGTAAAATTGTATTCCACTACTGATAGCACGATCGATTTTAATTGTCGAAAGCCTGTTCATTGCATAGGATTGCCCCTTTAGTCTAGTATTTATGTGTTCATTTGGACTTTCTTCTGGTCTTACGAATGTTGCACATTTACTAGAAAACGCGAGAATTTTCGAAAAAAATATGCAGTTTGATTATTTACCACGAAAACACATTTGTGTACATCATTACGTATATACATAATAAATTACCAACTATTGTTGAAGAAAGTTGATTTTATAGAAAAATGAATGTCACTAAATTATTACCACCAATTAAAAGATGTTGAGCAAATGTGATGTATATTTTTACTCCCACATATTTATATGAATTCTGAATTGCAAAGACCATATCGGTAGGAAAATTAAAACGAATTGTATGTTGTTAACTAATAATATTATATACCATGCCAGACAAAATGAATTGGGGAGGCGAAACAGAAATCAATTATTCAGTGGATATTTATATAAAACTGAAATAATAAGATGCCTATAGATGATTTTTTTGCAAAACGGCAGTAGTTGTAATAAAAAATTTTGCTTGCAATTTTAAACAAGCGGATAATTTTAATACGAGCAAAACGTCTCGTGTGAATCCGTTTGTTATTGTTACGGCAATTCACACATGTCAGTCTACTCGTAGCGATATTAACATCGCCGCGAACAAATTATGTAAATTCATAGAGTATAAAAGTACGTAGAGATTTGTATTCATATTGGAATATATAATGCTAAGTCAACATATTTCTATATCAGTAAGAGTCAGTTACAATGTCTTTTGTCTTGCATTCTTATCCTGGCCAAACAAAATATAATCATTTTAAAAAATATTTGGTCAATCTGATCAAATCTGAGAACGACATCATATGATATACACCATAGATAAGGAAAAATATACACACTTCTCATTAATAAATAATTTCTAGATATTATTTAACAAGCGCTTGTTGTTATCCAGCATGAAGTTAATTGATTGTGTTTTAATAATGATATTGTGAAATGAGGTTTTTGAAAGAACAATACAGATCTGTTATATTTTACAAATATAATCAGATCGTTGATTGCATTCGAAGTTTCTATGTTCACAAAAGCAGAAAAACAATATATGTATAATAGAATCATATATATATATATATATATATATATATATATATAACTGTGTGCTTGTATGTATATACATCCATAAATTTTGTGAAAGTACATATTGCTTATTATACGCTATGCAAAAGTTGTAATAGTTCTGCACTGTAATACTAGGTTGTATCCGTTAGCACTGTAGGTCAATCAGCAGCCATGTATTTTTATGTTATTACCGCTCAATTACATGCGTCGCATTTTGCAGCAATACAGTTATAAACATAGTTTACAATGCATTTCATTTGATTCGTTAATTAAGCGTAAAACAAAAAAAATGTAAACTAGATAGTGAAACAGGCAAGTGTCTTTCACGAGAATAAGCACACTAAACAACATGTAGATATTATATCAATTGTTAAGACTAGATTCGTTACAAAATTTAAATAAAAAACGTATATTATGAAAAATGTACTAACGTCTGAGAATACAATATTTTTTATTTATTGACGTGTTCATGTATTTATTAACTTAAAGTGTTTTTTTTTAACAGCAGCAACTATGGAGCAATGTCCGGTAGCGGCGGCGTGGTCGCAATGAACGGTGGCGGCGTTACTGACGCTCAGGCGGCTCTTAGCCAAGTCCAACAACAACAGGTTGTATCCGGCCAACAGTTTCATTCAGGAGGAGCAGGTAGCGCGAGTATGGTGGCCGCCGGAAACGGACCAGCCGCCGGGATGGCCATGCAGCAAGGAAGTCACGAATTTAGTCAGGTAAAAAAATAATCATTTACGAACAATATTAAAACTTTGAAATTCTTTACAAAACTAATTTAGTATCACAATTAATATTTCTAACGCAACTAACAGTAAATTGTCTTCTAACTGCCAAAAGTTATTTTTGAATTATAACAATAAAAATAAGTTTTTATGTGACTACTTAGAACTCAAAATAAAATTAGTAATTTATCTATTTAAATATTTTTAAAATCTAATTCGATTTTTACATATAATTTTTACATTGATCTAATTCGATTTTTACATTGATCTATTTTCGATTTGTAAATATGATTTTTACAAAATAGATGCAGAGTATGGTAATGCAACAGCAAAATCAGCAACAATATAATGGCATGAACGGTTATGGGCAGAGTCATGGGTCCCAGCAGCAACCAGGCGGCCAGCAGCGGGGTGGACCAATGGCCAGTATGGCGGCCATGAATTCCATGAATCCAATGGCTCAAATGGCTAGTCTGGGGATGGGTGGTATGCAAGGAATGCAACCAGGAAATATGATGGGAACAATGGGCGGCATGAATAACAAAATGGCAGCAATGCAGCAGCAACAAGCGGCGGGTATGGCAGGTTATCCAAGGAGATTGGCACCATATCCATCCCCCGCAGTGCACATGACTCAGAAGAGGCAACAACAGCAGCAGCAGCAAGCTGGATACCCCACCGGATTTAACCCTGCCGCCACACAGTATCCTGGTAAGTGCGCTGTTAAAATTATATATAAATATGTAAACATAATATTGATTCCTGTAACTATAATTAAATAAATCTTATTTCATGTTTTGCAGCAGGCTATGGCGGAAATGGTCGACCTGGTTTCAGTCCTGGTCAATATCCTGCTCAACAGCAAACCATTGGGCCTGGTTTTGGAGGACCCGTGGCTCGCACTGGGATGCGTCAGAATACACCCCCTTATAGCGGCCAACCAACGCAATCAGCGGTACAACAACAGCAGCAGCAATACTTCAATGGAGGTCAATTCACGCATCAAACGGGACAGTATCCCGGAGGGCAATATGCAGCTGGACCTGGCGGATTCCAGCAAGATGTTTCATCCGGAATGAGGAGTATGAATTACCAGCATAGTCCTATTCCGGGAAATCCAACGCCTCCTCTTACGCCTGCCGGAAGCATGCCACCGTATATTAGTCCAAATGCGGATACGAAACCTGGATTTAATGACTTAAAACCTCCTCTACCTATACAAAGTGAGTATGATTGATAAGACTTTTCACACATTCATATTGTGATTGATACTGTAGCTTGTATTTCATATTATATCATTTTGTATCTCTTCCAGAAGATGATGAATTGAGGCTAACATTCCCAGTTCGTGATGGGATCATCTTAGCTCCTTTCCGACTTGAGCATAACTTAGCAGTGAGCAATCATGTGTTCCAACTTAAACCCACCGTACATCAAACTCTCATGTGGAGGTATGTGGTTGCAATGAAATTTTATTTATTCCTGAAAGTTCACATTAATGAATGTGACTATTGATTCTTATGAAAATATAATAAACCTATTTTTGATTCAGATCCGATCTAGAATTACAACTGAAATGTTTCCATCATGAGGATAGGCAAATGAACACAAATTGGCCTGCTAGTGTTCAAGTTTCAGTGAATGCAACACCTTTGATAATAGATCGAGGAGAAAATAAAACTTCACATAAACCGTTATACCTCAAGGATGTCTGTCAACCTGGCAGAAATACCATACAAATAACAGTGTCAGCTTGTTGCTGTGTAAGTATGCTTTAAATGTTCAAAATAATATTTGAAGAACACATTATATTGCCTATATAAAAATCCAATAAGAATTAGGTATTTATTTTCAACTTCATTAATTTTCAGTCACATCTGTTTGTACTGCAATTAGTGCACAGGCCAAGTGTACGAAGTGTGCTGCAGGGCCTTCTACGCAAGAGGCTTTTAAATGCTGAATTGTGCATATCCAAAATCAAAAGAAACTTTAGTAATACGGCGCAGAATACCAATGGTGGATTATCTAATGATCGGGATCGCGATATCGAAACTACTGCTCTTAAGGTATCACTCAAATGCCCAATTAATTTTAAGAGAATAACATTGCCAGCAAGAGGACATGATTGCAAGCACATTCAATGTTTTGATCTGGAATCTTATTTACAATTGAATTGTGAGAGGGGTTCTTGGAGATGCCCTGTATGCAAGTAAGTTTAAAATGCTTGGATAAATTTTATAAAATTGTCTTGAATTTATAGATTAGTTAAATACAAATTAAATATTGGTTACTCCAATGTTAAACAATCATTTAACTTTTCAGTAAACCTGCCCAATTAGAAGGACTGGAAGTAGACCAATATATGTGGGGTATATTGAATACGTTAAATTCATCTGATGTTGATGAAGTAACAATTGATTCTAGTGCTAACTGGAAAACAACTAAAAATATGTCTACTGGCATTAAAGTAAGTATTATAATCATTATATAAACTATTTGTAGTAATATAATATTTGGGATTTTAAGATTATTTTCTTATTTTTAATAGACGGAAGATGATAGTGGAGACACTTGTAATGGTGCAAAGCAACGCATGAATAAAGCTATGTCTCCTGGATCAATGACATTACCAACCATGAACAATTGGGATATGACACAAGCCATGTCCCCCTACATACCACCTGATATGAATTCAATAGCCAGTGGATCAATGATGAACAACCAAACTGGACCACCATCCTACAACCAGAGCCAGATGAACAGAAATGGCTTGAATCAAAGCACCGGATCTTCTGGTTATGGTGATTTTGGTTCTGGTCCTGGAAGTAATGAATACGCCGCAGGTGCTGGACCTCTGTCTCATCTTAGCGACTCTGTGAATTCCTTAGATCCACTGAATGCAATGGAAAAGAGTCTGAATGATCAGGTAGGTTTTCACAATTCACTTCATTTGATTGATTATATTAAACTCTAGTATTCTTCCATGTATTTGACATTATTTTGCACTTTAAAAAACTTATGATGATATTTCTATGATTCTCATATTATGTGTATTATAAGATAGTACATTACGAATCCTTCAAAAATATTTTTGATCATCATTCTGATGATATGTACCATGCATTAATATAGTATTAATAGGTTTTATTCAACTTGCAGATGCCTCATACCCCTCATACGCCGCATACACCTCATACGCCGCACACGCCAGGAGGAACGCCAGGATCGGCGCACACGCCTGGTGGCGGTAACTCGGGACCGCCTAGTGTACCCCCGCCACAATCAGCGGGAGGAAACAACACTACAACTTCAACTTCATCCTCGGCGTCTGGTGATAATGGAAGTTCAGCGATAATTAGCAACTCGATTGGCAGTAATTCTGGCAACAATGGAAATCCAAGTAGCGTGAATGGAAACAATGTCACGCAGCAAGGTCCAGCTAGTAATCATAACACGCTCAATGATGATATACCGTCAGATTTGAATTTTGATCCAGCTGCTGTAATCGATGGCGAGGGAACAAATGAAGGATTGAATGTGAGTATTTATAAGTAATTGTACATTTGTACATGTGAAGTATAAGTAATGATTATTGTGCTGGGTAGAATAAATATAAGGGCCTACTTTCAACACAATTTTCATATTCCAACAATCATTTTAATGCAAACCACGGTAATCATAAATTTTAAAAATATCAAGATTATTTCCAAAAAATTGTTAAAAACACTACAATTTCAAAGTTAAAGTTTGAAGGCATTTAGTGAGTTTTTTCATTTTTAAAATGCAGTTGGATTATAACTCCAGACCTTATTCATGTGTACCTATTCATATATTATCTGAGCAAGACTGTTTTATAAAAAGACTGAAGTTTTTTGTAAAAAAATTTTGTTTTATGCATGGTGAATAATTATTTTGAAATACACCATCGTGCTTATATATGGATAATTTAAACATATATGAAGAATCTAAAAACAAACTAATATAATAAATTCAATAATTTAAAAAAATGTCACTTTTCATTTTATTTATTCAAATTGTCTTTTTATGAATACAAGAACACTTGTATTCTTTATTTGCGGCATTTTTTAATTTTGAAAAGAAATATTCATATTATAAAATCTTATCTTCATATTATGAAGTCTATCTTTCTTTTTTTTCTCTTTTATTTCTGACTCAAATGCATATAAAACTAACAAATTTAAAACCCCAGCCTAATCAATATATTTAATCTATAAGGAGCTATTGGGCTAAAACTTAATGAGAATGTGTAATTTCAGTTGCTACCTGACAGTGTTGTGGACCCGATGGAACTTTTGTCATATCTAGATCCCCCAGACCTAAATACACCTCCATCAAGTGGTGCCTCAAGCAACGGAAACAATACGACCAATGATGACATATTAGCTCTGTTTGACTGACTGAGTCCCAAACCTGGTCTCAGGGATCAAAGAAAAACAAAGACCATCACAGATGCTGAATGTGATGATATATTGGCTCTGTTTATGTAAATTATATATTAATATAAACGAAGAAATCATCTACCCGAAGCCAAGAATCGGTTTGATCCCAGTTTACTACATCTAAACAAATTTTGAGATCAGGTTTGAGGAATTGAAAACCTTTGTAAATAGATGAACAGCCATTTCTCAATGGATATATCCATTTTTAATTTCAACACAAACTGCCAATGTTTGTGAGTTTTTAGATTTTAAAATAAAACAAACGGAGTATTCAACTCTCGTTGTAATTGTGATATAATTATATATGTATAGACACAGAATTAAATAATTGTTGTCACAAATTGTGGTCCAAGTTAATCAAAGGTATGTGAAGTGGAAAACAGTGTTTTGGATGTGATTATTGAAAATTTAAGGATATGTGAAGAATATAATCACACCACGTTTCATGATGCATTTGTTAAAAGAATGCAGTATGACACTACAAAAACATTTTCATGAGATTTTTTTTCAAGATCATATGTGTCAATGGCAATGATTATTAAAATTGAAACAGTTCCTCTACTAAGTTTATATTGAGACACTAAAGCAAGTTAAAAATAGTGAATAAATAAGCAGATTTATTTGTGAGGTTTCAACAGCACTCTAAGAACATTATCTTGATGATTATATAGTTCCAAGAAATATCTAAAGTTTATTCTAAATTATTAAGAAATCTTAAACTAGAATAAGGCAAATGTTAAATTTATAGAATTCTCAACAAATGGAACTAGCATTTGAGAAATGAGTTTTTAAATATTTTTATTTATAAAAAGTTGATGAAAAATTTTCAAAAACATTTTTATGAGATAGAGAATACACCTTAAGCTATATCAAAATCTGGGAAACAATTGTTTTTAGTACGATGCTAGTGAATCTTATATAATCCCGGGGAATCTAATTATAACAATTTTTTAAAAAAAACATAAAATTTGCTGATGTAAAGTATTGGCCGTATGTGAATAAGAAATTAAATGTGTGATAGCGTTGGACAACAAGTTTTAAAATAAAATTTAGTTAAGATATATGAATGAAAGTGCAAAAATATGATAGTTTTTAAATTAAAATGGAAAAAAGAACTAAAAAAATTGAATCGAGAGATTGAAAGATGATATAAAAGAAAGTTACTATATGAACATTGATTGTGTATTATTTGTATATAGTTTATTACTAAGGATAAAATATATTATATTTGAAATGGCAAATACTTATAAATTGGCCAGTTTAGTATAGTATTATTATATAATTATTGAAATTATTATAAATATATATTACTAAAGAATATATAGAAAATAGTTGTCGGAACCAAAACATATGTATAAATTAATTACCTTAAATCACTTCAGACTCATTACATTGAAATGGCTTTATGCACACAATCAGAAATATATTTAAGAGAAAAAATTCAAAATTTTTAGACTTATATTTCAAATCTTGCAGATCAACAAAGTCATTGCAATGTAATGGCACTTTAACTTACACATAGGGACTCAAAATTAATCAACTTTAAGCTAGCAAACCTTTCATTGAAAGTGGGTTGTTCTCAATATAAATAAATTTTGAGCATAAAAGATAATCATAGATCTGATGGTTTACAATAGGATAAAATTATCCCTAATGGAACATGTACTTAGATGCATTAGTTCAAGACTGATAACATTGAAATGAAATAACACATTTAATAACCTCATGTGTACAAATTGATATATGATGGAATGTAACAACTACTTACAACTGACATAAATGTTATGCCTATGTAAAAGATAAAAGTTTTATAAAAAAAAGGTTTTTTTATTCATAGTTGTTGATTGGCGAGAAAAAAACAGTGTAAAACTAACCAACAAATTATAAGTAGACAATTGTTCACTTACCTTTTTTTTAAAAGAAGTTCACTAATTAAATTCACCACTTTTGAACTAACAATTTTCAACAAATCACCAATTATAACGATTGTATCTCAACAAAGTAAAGTTTCCAACTGAATTGTACAACACACTTGATAGCATTGATACCACCATTAGGTGAATAAAGAGCCGAATGTCAGAACATCACTACCAACATAATTATCGAAAGTTCAATAGTTCGCGCGCATTCTCAGCTTTTATGCATCATTTTTATGTATATTACATTCATATCAATTTTATCTGTCGAAAAGGACCATAATATGAAAAAGAACCAATTAGTACTATTATTTTTATACTTTACTTCAATGCCATTATTCAAAAAGATTACTTTAAAAATCTCTTGGCTCGATACTTCAAAATGAATCTAACAGATATCTAATCAATACTTTTTATATTCTGAGTTAAAATCAATCACCAACAAAATAACGGAATCACACAAAGAATACATTTTTAGGCAATATTATAATAAATTCTCAAGATAAAAATATGTTGATTACTAATAAATGGTTAAATCTACGACAGTAGATTCCTGTAACTTAGAAACCCTGCGAAGTGTTTGTACATAATATAAATTAATAGAATTCATTACAGTTTCGTAGTTTTCAAATATACATGGCAATAGCATAAATTAATGTATAAAATTAATAAAGAACAAATTTACTTAAAATATAGAATTAATAGTAAATAATTGTAATATTATGATGTATTTACAACAGTTATTAAAATCAACATGATTTGGATCAATTAAGTTTTTATGTTTATGAAGAAATGCAAAATAAAGATTTAATGAAATTATTCATTCTTTTGTAATTTATTTTTGAAATTTCAGGTATAATAGAAAGACTTTAGTTAAACAATAAAATATGAAATTGGAATAACTTCAATTAAATTTTATATATGTACATATAAAAGTATTTCAGAATTCAAATTCGTAACGTGAAATGATACAAACGATATAACATATTATAGGCTCACGAAAAAAAGATTAATTACATAAATTCATTAAATTTTAATTTGGTATGCGATGTATAGATATATTGCGTCCTGTTTTGGAACTGATCACCGTTGACGTGCGCTCTTAAATAAAATACATTTCTGGAATACGAATTAAAATGTAAAGTATTAAATAAAAATAAATAAATACAATTGCATGTTCTTTTAGTTTGTTTAAAATATATCAATTTGAAATAGCATTGATTAGTTTTTCGCGGAAAGCATATTTTTTTAAATAAGCAGTTAAAATGTTATCTAATAGAAATTATAGTATAACAATTTTCAATATTAATATTTTAAAGTAAAAAGAAAAAAATGTGTAACCAGCCAAAACATTAATTTTACAAGAACGCTATCAGGAAATCGGAACGGAAATCAATCTTCATACCAAAAGTATTTTTTTTCGTTTGTAGTTTATTTTGGTTTTGAGCTCTTGTGTTTAGCTTATGATACCTGAATATAATTTTTAGATATACGTTATTTAATAATTTTGTAAAATGTAATGTTGTTTTCAAAATAGATTTTTTGTAAAATCTTTGTGGGGTAAAAATAACGATAAGAAATAGTAAACAAAAACTAAATTGAGTTAAAAAAAGCAATTTTATAAGAGATAAATTAAATTAGTCCTCTCTGTTAATAAATACTTCTTTCGAAATACAAGATCAAAGTATATAACGTTATAAGGGTGTATAATAATGAAATCTTGGTAAAAAATACTCCCATAAAATTCGTATTTTACATTGGTTAAGTAATATAGATCGCAATCGAAATCCCTTTAAAATTAAAAAAAAACGTTGGATCTGCTTAATCTCTGGCTGTCTCCTGTTACCTCACCCATAGGGCAAAAAGGGTTTGATGACAAATTTAGAAAAACAATTAAAAAAACTGATTTTTATTATTAGGAGTTGTCTGGGAATATTACTGTGGGAATATTACATGTTATGTGGTATCAAGTAGTTCATTTAGTTTAGACATTATAATTCTTGAAATTTTACATTTTATAAGGAAGTTCAGCAAAATGTCTTAAGGTGAAAAACCACTTAAAACTACTTATTTTATATTGTTAGAACCTCAAACTATTCCAAACATTTTGAAATATAAAAACATGTTTTGTTTTTCTTAACAATTGCAAGTTAAATAGCCAAGAATAATAACTGATTCATATGCATGACGTGTATACTCGTCAATACACAAAATTCTTGATATTTGTAGATATTTTCACCATGTTATAAAAACTCGAAATTATGAAATAAATATTTATTTGGTTCATAATACGTTAAAATCCAGCAAATGGCTTAAATGTGTCAAAAAGTTTTATTAAAATTGTTTCTGAGCTTATACTAAACTATATGCAGATTTACCCGTAATAGGTTCATTTTGCAAAACCATTATATCGTGTATAACATAAAAGTGTAAAAAAAGAACAATCACAGATTGTAAATACTTCTGCTACAAATACGTGTGTTAAACTATAACTATAAGATCATGGTATTTTTCTACTTCTAATCCGTAATGTGCACTTATAGCATAGAGCGTTGTTAGTAGGAGTAATTTTTTTTAAATATTTCTTGATTTAAAATTAAACTGAGTAATGGCTATATATCCTATATTTTATTATATCCTAGAATATAATTAAAATAATTTTTTCATAATTACTGAATATAGTAAACATTTCATTTTTTTTATTGTAATTTTGCATAATTTTCGTCATAAATAATTTAGTAAGTTATAGTGTGTGTAGACTTCGTAAAAATAATTTTGGACAAAGCCTGAGATAACAATCCTGAATCCAAGACAATAAGACAAATATTGCTTTTAGAAAAATCCGGGATGCAGAGCTGTTCCGGCCAATGCAGGAAGACGTTACCTTTTAAATCTATAAAACCACTTTTAACTCTTCTGATCAAAGAAATTAAATTCAACCACTTTCACCATCACTAAAGTTTCTTTTCAAAATGATAAAAATATCTAATTGAGAAGACGTAAATTTTCAATACATACTTTTAATATTATTTACATGAATACTATCGAATACTATGGAAATAATAAGAATATCCAATTGAGAAAGACGTAAATTTTCAATACATACTTTTAATATTATTTACATGGTAATATTTATATATTCATTTATATACTTATTATGATGTCTGTAGCTCGCTCTATATAATCGCCGGAAATGTATGAACATAGCAAATTTGTGCTCCATATTCACGCACACCTGAGATCCATATATTTAACATCTTTTCTATTTGCAGAAAAAAACATATTGCTTATAATAATTGTTCAATTTAGAGCGTGTGTATAATAAATTCCACCTTTCCAGCGGTTTTGAAGATACAGAGCTAAATGTGCAAAAATATGGCAGTTTTTGAGAGAACTAAGCGTCCGATTTGAATGATTCAAAGAACTTTCTGCTTGTTTAAACAAAATAATTACTTTTGAAATACATCGAAAATATTTCTGATTTTAATTGAAATTTTGACTTAAGTTCTAATATACTTTAAACAGATATTTTAAACTTCGCAATTCAGTTCATATAATTCTTATAAATATTAGATAATGTTACACTATTTATTTATAATAATCTATTTGAAAACATTTAATATTCCTCGAACATTTCGTTACGGTACATTTTGGAAGTTCCAGCAATTTGCCTTAAGGCGCGATGCCATACACACCACTAGTTTAAATATTGTTTTTTACGTAATTAAGGAAAAATCGATTAAAATAAAATGACAAGGTTGTAGATTTTTATTTATTTCACTATTCATAAAATAAGAATTAAATTAGAAACATGTTATGTTGATAAATATTAATTATTAATTTTTGTATAGGTTTTTTAAACATTTAAATCAAAATTAGTAATTATAAAGGTTTTTTTTTTTCTAAAAAAGCATTTTTTTCCAAATGTACCTGTGGAACAATTTTAAAGATTTGAAATAAATAAGCGAAGATTATTTTGAGAAGTTTTATTATATTAAACATAACATTACATTGTTTATCATTAGTTGTCAAGATACATACATACATACATGTTATATATATATACATTAGGGTGGTCCTTAAAATGGTCATTTTTGAATTTCCTTGCTCCCAGGGGCTCAAATGGTTCCAAATTGATAAAAAACAATTCTCTGAAAGTTTTAGCTCTTAATATTAACGTTTAGATAGAGCGCAATTCAATCAAATTTTGTA